GAGGTTGTATTGATTAAACAGATCTTAGACCTCCCCCCATCTTTGCATGAGGTAGAGAGAGACCCAATTACTCTGTACATGACGGAAGATGCATTTAAGGCTCTGATGCACACAAAGCTAACAAACAGGTACCTAACCTTTACACAAGGCCTAATTTCAGCAGTAAGCTGCTCAGAACAGCTCTGCATAGCACCAAAAGGCACCTGAGTCCGGAGGAATGCTATTCTCAGCACCAGTGCCTACAGATACACAAAGGCTTTAAGCCATACTTTTATTCTTGAAAGACCTAACTAGCTTGATACTTCACCTCACACACGAGGTCCTTCAGAGCTGCAAGATGGAGGTACCTGTGACATCTCAGGAACCCCACTTGTTGGGCTCTGAATGAAAAGCAAAAGCAACTTTCACTGCTTTTAAGTCAGCTGCGGCACTGATGATAGGCTTCACAATGTGTAATGCTGTTGTTCAAGCTTGGCCCTGAAGTTGCTCAGGCTGAACAGTTTGCCTACGTTACCTGTCTGATCTCTTCCCACAGCTGTGATGATGCAGGAAGGATGGCCACCACCACCACATAAGTACCTTTTATACGCTGTTCCATTTTGTGTCAGTTTTGAAGATTCAGGTGCTATGCTTGAGTTGTTCCAGAGCTGCAGAGGCCACTTACTCGGCAGGGGCTGAAGGCAGAAGCCTGCCTGATGCTCGTTCAGCCAGCCCAGAACCTTCTTGTTTCTACAACCTGAAAGCAGCGACACTCCCGTCTCGCTAGCAAGCTGAATGCATCCTTTGAGGAAATCAAGCACTCAATCCACAAGAGCGTTTGGTACATGCAGTTCTTTCACAGAAATGTCAGAAGGGATGAAGAGATGGAGGCCCCTGCCTGCCTCCCCCCAGCTTAACCCCTGATAACATCACCATTGCTGAAAAGAAACATCGGGATTGATTTTATCCACACTGGCTCAACAGGGCCCTCACAACCAGAGAGCAGAGAGGAACACATACAGGCTACGGGAAGGAGGATAATGAGTATATGGTAAGACAAGCACACGGTACCTCAGCCCTTGCATTAAATGTGGGATACTTACCCCCCTCCCATTTTGTTTTCCTAAACTTTCCTTTCACTAATAGGCTCTTGTTTACATCATACAGTAAAAGCCAGGTGCTACACTCCTAAGGGTGAAACGTGGCCCAAAGATCTGGTAAAAAGACTTTTAGTAACATTTTACCAAAGCCAACCACAGGCTGCTGAACTGCTCACATCCACCAGGTACGCTGGCAAGCCCCCAGCCTGGCCTGCAGCCCGGCTCTTTCCCACCACAGCAAGCAAGTAGGAAACAGTGATGGGCACAATGTACGAAGTTCGTTTCCGTTCATCCAAAAATACAAATGCCAGAGGTCCTGCTGTTCCCTCCATTTTGAAGTGTCATACAAACTTCTGTGCGAGGAACTGGAGTTCTCGTTGAAAAGTCTCACTTCATTCCCATAGACACAAAATCTTGGCATCCATTGCATTTAAGGCAAACATTAACAAAAAGGACTTACCGGTGCGAGTCTTCTTCCCTCAACAAGATGGCCAGATACTCTCAGTATCTGTGAATGACATTCTGAAACTATTAAGTTCTTAGGAGTCTCTGCGATGTCACTCTCAGCTTTTTTTTAAAAGCTATTTATTAGAATAAAGCAAGAAATGTCATCTGCATTTGGCTCCAACCCACCAATTGACTGCTTTCTCTTGCTGGGAAATTTAAGTTAAAGATTCTGAATTTTGTGCAGCTCGTTTTAGAAGATAAGAATTACCAGTGAAATTCTCCAGCACATAATAATCATCTCATCAATGCGTATTTTTTAACTACCCAATAATTGCCATATTTAGATTACTCCCTGGATTGGGAGCTGGTATTTAATTACAATGTTTCACTAGTGCTTGTACATCCTTAAATCTGCAACACAGACATATTACTTGTAATTAACTTGGCAGCAGGTCCAGTGTTAAAGATCACCTCTCTCATTCAGCCTTATCAGAGTTTTACAAGTCAAAAATCGTCTAACGCATGATAAATAATGCAGGCCCTATTTATTCCATGCTGTGCGCAATTTTATGTTGGAATTACAAGCCTCTTTGCCAAAAACGTCCTTGATTCTCAGGCTTTGAGAGAGTAACTGGTACCTCATATTCTCTCCTTTTTTGCACCAATTAAAACCTGCAGGTGCATTAATGTTGTCATCTGGAATCTTGCTGGTATATCAGAGGTTATTTTCACCAAATGTGTGCTATTAGTAAAATCAGCCCATCAGGGGAATTGTGAATGCTCTGTTTGTTGTTACAGTGCTCTCAAGCCCTTCCAAATATTTTACTATTGCAAGACCAGACAATAAATTTTTACCTCTAAAGTAAACACAGGGTGTCATAAAAAACTAAGTTCAGTTGGAAATATTACTTTCTCACTCACTCAATGTATATTTGAGACAGGTGAATCATTTCTTCAGGACTGTCTCAGATTTAAAGGCCAAACATGCCTGTTACGGTCATCTAG